CCCGAGTGGACCTGCGTGCGTGGAAGACGCGTGTCGTCTTTGTAGTTAGCCGACGAGAGCTAACCTTTTTTTAGGTCGCCGGGTTGGCCCGGAAACCCTGAACTATGGCTGGTGCGAGATGCGGTCATTAGTATCACGGACGGACTTTAGTTACCCAACCCGGCTTTCAAATTTTAGATACGTCCGCCGCGGAAAGCCCGGGCTACTGAGTGCCCTGCGAGCTCTAGCTCCGGAACCGTGGGCTGGAGTGTGTTAGAGATGCTGACTGACCACTGGCAGCAGAAGGTAGGTCCACGCGTGAGTGGCAGTAAGACAAGGGCTGCGTACGTTGTTGCAAAGGTTTACCGGCCCATGCTGTAAGTCCATTGTTCGCTCAACAACCTGCGTGCGTGTGTGTTTATTATTTGTGTGTAGGTAGTTCGGCATGGTCTTGGACCCGCTATAAGTCGCGTAATTCAAGGGCGGAGTGCCGAAATCTGTGGTGGTTCGTATATTCTATTCGTGTAGCGTGAGCATTATGAAGCGTTTGTCTGATGTACGGAGCATTGTGGTTATGAAGGGATAACGGTTAATGAAATTTAAGGCCAATGACTCAATAATGACTTGCGCACGCCTTAGCACCACCGGGGGAAGTTAGGCAAAGAGGGAGGGATCGGAGACGGCTAACTCTGATAATTATGAGGTATAACTGGACGTATGACAGAAGTGAGAAGGGATGCACGAGTGGAAGTATGATTGTTGTGTATATCCGGTGGGAGATAGCCCTCAGCTAGGAAAGGCGCTGTTGTTTGAGAGTGGGACTTTTTGTTAAATAGAGTTGATTTTCTATACCAATATGATCGAGGGTAATTGATTATCATTTATCATTATCTCCCATTCCCTAACCCTGGCCTATGTGTTTCCGATGATTGATCGCCCCGGAGAATGCAAAGACAGAGTCGGGACGAGTTCGCGAGGGGCTGAACCGAGAAGGGCTTTTACGAGTAGAAGCGCACCCATTAGGCCGATTTTAACACCCCCACTCGAGCCAGCCCACCTGCTGAGAAGCGACCGCCCGGTTAGCCCCGCAACGCCGCGAAATCCCGCTACACGACCAAATGCCGTGAATCTGCATTAACGGCACTTGATAACATTGGGTCCTGGTCCTGATATAGCGATTTTTTGTTAAGCTGTTTAGAATCGTGGTATTTCGAACTCAATGACTGCCATTCCATTTTACTGTATGCCTGGCCTATTCAAATACATTAGCCAGAGGGGTGTGGTAATAACTGGTGTAAGCAAATTGACCACGGTCAAAAATGCATTACCAGAATGCACTTAAGCCAACATTTTGGGATGGTCTCGTAATCGTTCCTAAATCGGTCGGCTAAGAGCTTCGGTCCAGAAAATAAATTTATTGTTGGCATACAGATTTATAAAATACCACACGGGGCCGGTAAATGATTTAAGGCTTAGGAAGGACCTATTTACACCGGCCTCGTTCAGTATCATACATTACCAAGGGCTTCAAAGGCGACCAATGAAACTACGATACAAATATATTCATTACCAAAAGTGATGCATAATGCATATAGGTCCATAAGCGACAATCACGTCCCACTTTTGAGAGATAACCTCCGTAAGTGTTTACTGGTCTGACGCAGCATGTGGTCGGGCCGATAGTTTACTCAGACTGTCGGAAGACTGGTTCAGACCCTTCACTGCCATGGTGGGCGAGTAAAAAAAAGCGAAAAGAAACAAACGAATTAAAAGGGCAAGTGTGGTCGGTGACTGGCAGTGAATAGCAACGGTATCATACCATTCTTCGCCCAGAGTATATCGCACATGAAATGTGACGAAATGGACACGTAAAGCTTCGGCTATTGTTGTAGATACATGTTACTGGTAAATATCGAATACCTAAACTTAGATCGTTTTAGAAGCAAAGAAACTAATTGCGCAACTCATGGGAGAGTGTTGAGGGCGAAGTGCATTGTTGTGCCGACGTTTCAATGGCAGTGCATTGCAAAAATTCAGAGGATGCATCGTGTGACCTTTGCTGGGACAGGGGAGCTCTAAACTTATGCGACTGCAGTGGCCGGTGTTGTGCTGGCATTATGCCTAAAAGAAACATGGTAAACATGGCCGGTATTATGCTTTGGCATATCCACTGGTGATTTCAGACGTCGATGATTGGTCGATTTAATCACAGACAGCCTGAGCGGTCAACCCGGGAGCTGTCGAGTCGGGGCTAACTGGCCGGCCCGGACTGAGACCGTGCTGACCGGTGACCGGTCAGCCGGGCGCGGTCAAACCACCCCAGCTGGCAGCGGCGTTTGTCGCCGGGCATTGTTCGCGGCGCGCCGTGCGCCGTTGTCTCGGCTGCCGGCCATCCATCGTGTCCGGCGCGCGGCGGCTGATGTCACCCGTGACCGTTCGACACGTCCGACCGCCAACTCTGCCGCCGGCCCCGGCTCTGTTGACGTCAACACCGGCGCTGCACCCCTCCCCGCCCCTCGCGGGTCCTTTCTGTTACTCTTCTAGTGTCGCTCCTTCGTCTTCCTGTCGGCTCGGTGCCCTTGTTGTCTCGTTTAAATGATAGTGGCGTAGGTCATGCTCTTTTTACGTCGCTCTCTTGTCTTCACTAGTTTTGCCTGTGATTCTATGGCCCAATCCACTTACTCGACGCCTTGCATGCTAAATGGACAGAGACATTAAAACCTCGCCGCGATTAGCGTGTCATGTTCCATCCACAGGCTAAGCCGAGCTTGACGAAGGAAAAAATACGTGGCTGGGATAGTTTTTCAGCAGAAGGCACGTGTTTCGCGTGATGCACGCAACCGGCACATCAGTTGCATTCACATAGAATACCATCTAAGTGCATTCGCATGTTTAAAAATAGTCGAAGACAAAAGACGCTCATCATGCGCTTTGCGCATTCACCTCCGGCTGGCATGTAATGCCATGGTTTACCCAGAACCATGGGCGCCGCCAGAAAGTTCTGAGGGAAGGAGATGTGTGCTTTTCATGACAGATATGTTCCTCCTGTAGGCAGAAGATGTTGCTAGTTCCTCGCCAACCTTTAAACCTGTCGCAAGTGAAATATCCTATTGAAGGCTAGGTCTTAGTTTGAGCCACAGATGGGTCTTATTTGTTACCTATCTAATCCATTCTTCGCCAACTGCTTAAAAAAGTGCTTTAAGTTTTGACGGATCCCTTCCGCGGCATGCTCAAAGCGGTCAGCGGACCATTAAGGCCAAATTCTTCTCACAAAGCTAAGACGGCCTGGACCGGAACTTACGCAACAAGCCCTGTTTTTAGTGCTCAGATGGGATTTCATGTCTGGGATTTACCCGATGTGAGCATTCATGCCGATGTAACACGACTAAATTTATCTCAATATGACCTGGGCTGGTTGCGCGCCGACTGTGTGCTTAAAAGTTAGCTTTTATGTGTTGGTTGTTGATTTGGCGGTCCTGCCTTCGCCAGAGCCGCTTCTGAGAATGCTGCGTGCTGCCGAGTAATGTCTTTCGGTGGCCACTGGGTCCTGTCTGGCGACTGGCAGCAGGTCGTGACACCCGGTGCTCCAACCAGTGCCGACTGGCGCCGGTACTGCCGTCTGACGCCGCTGTCGATGGCTGCTCACACTGAGCCGGTGCCCTCTGTGCCGTGTCTGCCGGAGCTGCCTGCCCAGCGTAGCTCGGGTGCCGCCGTCTGGGCAGCCGCTGCAGACCGGCCCTCGCTCGCAGTTCAACGCCCGTGGGTACACTGGCCGAACGGGGCGGAGGCTCGCGTGAGCGCGCCCAACATCGTGGCCGCGGCGCCGGCAAAGGCGGCCTGAGGAACGGCACCCCTGCTCGGTACGGCACGGCGCGGCCGTACCCGCCGGCGGCGGGGCTGTCCAGCGGCGGGCCGGAGCGGCTGTCTTATCCAGCCTGCCGCACACGGCGGCCGGGAGCCCGGTCGGCGGGTGGAGCGGACCGAAAGGCCAGTGATTCCCGTCGGACGCCGAGTGTCCAACCTCATGGTCAGTTCCTACTCAGGCAGCGGTGACCATGAGCGTTCGCCTTTTTAGGGGTGGATGGTCTTCTATCTACAGCCCTCCCTCACGACTGCAAGTGTTCAAAGTTAGCCGGAGCTCGCGCTCTGGGCCACCCTGGACCGACGCTGGGTAATACCCAAGAGTGTCAGCGCTGGGGCTCCATTTATACAGCGCTGGTGCTGGGTATAACCTAGGGGACCGACACTAAATTCAGTCTACATGGTCTACATGTATGGGACCGGTGCTGTGGCTCATCAAATGCCGTAGCTGGGGGTGGCTCACCTGGGAGTTGGGACCGGTGCTGAGGCTACTCGGGCCAGCGCTGGGCGTTGTGTAAGTGCCGGCGCTGGTGAAGAAGACCATATCACTACTTACCCGCCGTCAGGCTCAACGAGTCTTGCGGTTGGTCAGGACGGTGAGAAGTTCCTCGGACACTGACCAAAAACGTCTGCACTGTGAAGTGCTGCGTAGTGGGCGATGGGAACCTGTTGGGCTGCCGACTGATGTGCTTTCTCCGTCCGAGCCTCCACCCATAGCCGTCGTGATCTGACGGCAGCATACGACTCTCTGGAATCATACTTCAGTCTGTGAAAAAATATGCTTATGTTTAATAAGAATAGACAATAATGGAAATTAAAGAGACAGGATGTCCTGAAGGCTCACGTAGAACAATGTAAACGGAAACGGACAAACTATGGAAATGAAACAATAGTAAGGAGGTGAGCTGGAAAACGTCACCAAAAATTCAAACACAGCCGCTCACAGGACGTAAACGAACTTACCAGGATGACAGGACCGCTGACCCAAACTCTTCGTCTTTTTATGTACTCCAAAATAATAATGAATATACTGAATACAGCTTTATGATGTCCAACTTATCCTTTCAACCGTTGCCAGTTTATCAAGATGATGTAGCTGATGTCATGGGAGTAATTTGATGTTGCGCTTTAATTGAATTATTTCTCTGTTTCTTTTTCAGAAATGCGCTGACGAGGAGGTTTCAAACAAAGAAGATTTTCCCAACTTCGCTCGCACATACCCACCTGAAACTCAGGTAAGTTCTCTATAATCATCATTCGCACATTTTTGGTCTCAAAAGCTCACGATCGCAGGGGATTATTCTTCATAACGTTGCCAGTTTATTCAAGCCTGTCCATGGTTAGGCAATTCACTATTAGCAGCCTCCACCAGTTAGGTGCTTATTCGATTGCGTATTGTAGGTTGTCACTGCAGAATTGATCAACTTTACCCATAACATCGCACATTCGCACATGTTACACATATGTGGACAGTAAAGCGGTAAATACCCATGTCAGTTACCTTGCAGCATTGGACTCTGGTGATTGGTGCGTGTTTCTCCCCGTTCGGTGTCGGACCGGTTGTGGCGTGAGGCCGAGTCCCTACCGAGCAGCGTGACCACACGGGGCCTTCAGTCGTCTATTTCTGGGCACCTTTCCTGGAACGGAGCCGCCCTGATCCTTATCCGCAGCTCGGGCTCCGGAGATGACCGCGGCACGCCCGCGGCTCGGATTGGTTGAGTCGGCGTTTGTTACTGGAATGTCTGATTGTGGCGTCTTCGGAGACGGAGAGGCCCCCCGCCTCGCCGGCCTTTGGCTGGACCCTGCGGTGGTCGGGGGGGGGGGGGGGGGCTGCCGCACACGTAATTGCGATCAGCTTCAGAGGAAGGAATTTGGCGGACCGGTCATCCGGAGGCAGTGTTAAGCATTTGAACAGTAAATACACACACAAAATGATCCACATTTAGTGACTATTTTTATCCAAGTAGCTCATAGCCTCATAAGATGCCGCAGTTGGCTCTTTTTAAATGTCAGACGTCAAGGATTACGTAGCGATCGAATGTTTGCACCCTTTGGCTGCCCTTGTATCGATTTGTGTGATGTCAGGCTGTCTAAAGTGAGATCAGTCTGTTTAAGCTCGAGTCGGGCTGTCAACGTTCCACACTTTTTACACAATGGCTCCATTTGAAGTCAGATAGGGTCTGTATAATGTATAGGTCTCATCAGGTCAGATTCAGGTAAACTCGGTCAGGTCAGCGCGGTGTATCTGGTCACCGGTGACCTGCTCCCGGCCAGCCGTCTGTGTCCTGGGCCTCGTTTCATAAAGCGAGTCCGTAACTTCGGCGGTTTTTGGTTTTGTATTACAAGTGCATGTGAAGCGATGGCGTTAGTTTGAATCTTTGAATTCATTTATCTTGCAAGCAAGAACAGAAGGGAGAAGGGGAAATAAATTTATCGCTTCACATGCACTTGCAATACAAGACCAAAAGCCGCCGTAAGTTACGGACTCGCTTTTTGAAACTGAAACGTGGCCCTGTATACAGCGACGTGCCGCCGCCTGCTCCCACCTGCTGTGTACGGAGGGGATGGGAGGGCTGCCCCCGCGGCTGCAGCTCGTCGCGGCCCGACTTACGGCCGGCTAAAAATAGCTGCAGAATATACGCGGCTTGACTGGTGAAGGTCACTCACCGCCCGGCCCGGCCCGGCCCGGCCCGGCCCGGCCCCCCGACCCGGGTCGGTGGCAAACAGACAGGCAAGCAACCACTCCGAGACTAAGAGACAAACACATACCTGCAGACAAACAGGTATATAAAATGCCAAAATAGAGAGGAGAGGAGAGGGGAGAGAGGAGACGACACTGAGAATAGAGAGAAACAAACAAATCACAGACACACTTGAAGAGGATCATAGACATAGACACGGGCACACAAACAAATTGGCTAACAATGAAGACAACGAAACAGAGAGCTAATTTATACAAGCAAACACGTAGACTAAAGATGGGCACAAAACGGTGACATGTTTGTAAGTACCACAAATACTTCCAGGTACCTAACAAACGGACCTGAGGCCGACGCCTGCCCGTAGACCAGTGTTCGGCGGGACATGCAAATCACCACACAAGTTAATCGCCAAGAATACAACGCTGGCCGCACAACCAGACGGACGAGAGACGCATACACCTTACTACTCACGTACTAGCTCATAGACAAACACGCCCATGGACAGACCAAGAGACAGAGCACGAACCGAAACGGAGATTGACCTACAGTCACACTTACAAGCACATCAATAGTTTAACCACAAAAAAAGACCGACCCCAGACAGATGGGCAAACGAATCCATACACCACTGTTCCCCAAACCATAACATGCCTTAGTTATGACATGTCGCAGAACCGGGCTCTCCAGCCACTCCTTAATTGGGGAGCGGCTGGATAGGGCTAATTCCCTTGGTGACGAGTTTTGATTGTACCGGGCGCGCAGACTGGTCCATGAAACATGGCTGGATGGTTAAAATCATTGCGTCGGCGGAGACTGCGTGTCGAATGCGCACCTCACGGCGCGGGATGGGAGATACAGCAGCCTTGTGGACAGATAGGTACACCCGCCATCGAGTGACGTTTACACCATTCGTTATAGGCCGTTGGATGAGATCACTGATCATTTGTTCCAATATGTACGTTCATAATAAATGAACCGAAGTTCTTAATATTGATGATGCCTTTAGCGTAGTAATCGCACATGACTTTTGTATTTAGTCTGTTCCGTGGGCTGTGACACTATCGGTTTATTCTCATTCGGTCATTTAAATGGTGAACTGATGGCGAGCTGGTCATGCCCGTGCCCCAACTCCCAGACACCGATCAACTCTCATGGATGCTGTTCTTAGGACTGTCAGCACTTATAGTAGCATGTACTTTCAGACATGGATGGGAAGTGCACTAATTTTTTATCCATCCTTTATTTTTTATCTATCCATCAGATGAGGATATTTTCATAACATATATGATCGAAGCTTCCTCATATCCAGGAGGGGCTATGTTTCGTGATGCATTCCAGTTCACCGCCGCTTTAGTTTGCATGTCGAGCACATAATGCGCTAAGGATGCTCAGGCTTCGTGCCCGGTAATTCCTTCCGGTGAATGCCCCAAAGTCGCATTATACTGTATAAACATCCGAATCACGAATATTTTACTTGCCCTAATAAGTTTAGTGTCAACCGGGAGCCGTACAGAACTGCCATGTCCGTTCTACTTATGTGGGCTACTTTTGATATAACTCAAATACTTGAGCGAAGGAAATGTACATTACGAAGAGATTTGCGACCGATGTCGGATGTGCTCAATACCAAAACGACTTATACCTAAACTTTAGGTACAGGTCGTTAATGTAACCCTCATTTGCTCATTTTCTGCGGCTGTAATAACGCAGGCAGATAGCAGGGCCTATTTTAACATGTTAACTGGGGGGGCAAATGCCCCCGCACTCAACAGAATTGCCCCCCTAGTCGTCGAGATTTGCCCACTATAAAAATGGGCATAAAGGAACAGGGTGACAAACATACTACGTAACTACTGTGACTTGTTTTGCAATGGATGTCAAATGAGTCAGTCTGTAAGTAATGACCAGTGGTGTATCTAAGGGTGGGTCATATGGGTCATGACCCCCCACCCTCTTGGGGCCCGGGGACACCACAGGCCTGCCAGGGGCACCACCGGCCTGTCAGGGGCACCACAGGCCTGTTGGGAGCACCATCAACCTAGCAAGAGCACCATATGTCTGCCAGGGGCACCACAGACCTGCCAGGGGCCCCACCGGCCTCGCAGGGGCACCACCTTGGGCCTGTCAGGGGTACCACCACAGGCCCGCCAGGGGCACCATAGGCCTGCCAGAGGCACCATAGGCCTAGCAAGGGCGCCACGGACCTGTCAGGGGCACCAGAGGCCTAGTATGGACACCACATGCCTGGCAGGGACACCACCGGCCTCGCAGGGACTGGGACACCTTGGGCCTGTTAGTGGCACCACGTGCCTGTCGGGGACACTCCAGGCTTGTCAGGAGCACCACAGTCCTGTCAGGGCCCAGGGGCACCACCGGCCTCACGTGGACACCACCGGCCTCGCAAAGGCATCATGGGCCTGTCGTTGGAACTTCAGGCTTGTCAGGGGCACCACAGTTCTTTCAGATGCACCGGCGGCCTAGCATCATGGCAGTGGCACCATGTTTGGCCGAGGTCGCGATTCGGCGTATGTCGCCTCGCATTAGCCGCGCGTTTGCAGTCTTTTCGTGGTTTCAAACGTTCAAACATGGGATATGATGTAGCTCCCATGCATTAGGGTGGGTGTCAAGATCACCGGAAGGTCAGGTCAGATCATTTACCTTTGATGACCTCGGTTCACATTTTCGAGTTTTATATGTTTCTACTTTCTAGGCTAGTTTTTGGAGCTGAATTCGAATTAAGCAACCATTTGACCATTTACGAAGTAGTTTTGGTGCCTTCGTAACATGTTACGAAGCTGTCAGAGGCGGTTGCCACCTACTACGAATACCCGGCAAAACCCTTACTGGTTGACCTGACCTGACCTGACCTGGCCTAAATGCATGAAGACATCATCTATGATCATAACTAACATGATATTCGTGATCAGCACCCCGAAAAACCATAGCAGCCACTCTTTACGACGCTCTAACAGGTCCCGATTTTCCCGACTTTTGGGTCAATGACCTGACCTGGAAGGTCAACCGATGACCTAGGACCTTAAAATTGGGTATAATCGGCTTCCTTTTATCACGGGCAACACGGTCGTTTTTTCCGCGAAGCTCTAGCTCGATCAGGGGCGAAACGGCAAGGGGGAGGGTCCAACGGACCCCCCCCCCCCCTATACGCTCGCTACTGGAAACACCAATACGGGCGAGGGTTAATGGATTATTAAAGACAATTTTCCAGGTTGCCCCCCCAGTCAAATTCCCTTAAAATAGGCTCTGGCAGATAGGCAGATAACGCAGATAGTATTCAGTAGATAGGCTTTAGACGACATGAACATGAACAATTTACAATTTAACAAACATGCGTTCACTGTAGGTACGGTAGCATTCAATTTGCCAATAGTTAATGACTGCGATGATGAATGAGCGAAAGCTGAAGCTTAGGCACTACACTAGACTGCATCCCGGCTTGCCTCTTCTTCAGATCCATTTTGTCTGTTAAATTTAAGTGCTTTTGTCTTTGCAAACATTAAAATTTGTTGAAATGT